AAGACTGAAAGGAGAGAATCCATTTATAAAGTTTGACATCAATATTTCCCCTTCCCCCTTTCTCCTAACAACTACCCCAGATATTTATTTATATTCATATTATTATATTTCACTTATCCTTTGGGTTTGAACTACAACTACAACTACAACTATAACTACAAAATGGTAAAGAGATTTATAACTAATAGCAACCAGCAACAGCAGAGCAGCGACTCGAATGACAGTAATAATGAATACGGCAGTTCTTACAACTATTCTTCCTCCTCTGCTGCTGGTAGTGGTGTAGCTACTGAAAAATATCAAAATAAACAAATTTCATCATCATCATCTTCAGATGATAATAGTCGTGATAGCACTCACAACAATAACGATAGGTTTCATAGAAATGATTCGAGTGAATTGTATGATTCTTTAGCTCGTCCTCCAAATATCACTCCTTATAGCATGGATGCACGTTCAAGAATAGATAGCGATGTATCGATCACTCCTGAAATAAGAGCAAGGTCCCATCAAAGTCCTGGAAATGATTATAATGGCTATTATGCAAGAAAGGAAAATAGTAATGGTAATTTGAATAAATATATGAATTACGATACAACTACACCGAAGTCTATGAGATATCCAAGTGTCTCAAATCTAAGGAAAGATAGCTCTTTTAAAGAGGTTGTAATAGATTCAACTAATTATGACAGATATCCAATTCATACACCAATTAAAGGGCAAAATTCTTATATTAATTTAGAGTCAAAGGTTTTTTCCTCAAGTAAAGATTCAAATTCATCATTATCAGATAAATTGTTCGAATCTAATATGAATTCACCTTTCGGTGGCTATCCAACTTCTTTATTCCCATTGCTATTTGATGAGAAGGAAGACGATGATTTTTTACACAACCCAGATCCTGAAGAAGAAGCAAGATTATACAAAAAAAGATTTGTGTACGATTTACAGCATATGAGCAGAAGGAGTATAGGTGGTTGGCTGGGTATATTATTGCTATTATGTGGTGGTGCAGTTGTCTTCATTGTAATCCCAGCGTTAACATATACAGGTTTTGTCGATCGTGGTGATAGACCTCGTCAAGGTGGTTCTTCATCAGGAGGAGGTTCCCAAAATGGTGATAATGAATATCTAACAGCTTACACATACCCACAATTAGCAGCAATTAGAACGACGTTAGTTGATCCAGATACACCCTCTGCTGCTAAGACTAGAAAGGCTAAAGATGGTTCATCATGGAATTTGGTATTCTCTGACGAATTTAACGCAGAAGGTAGAACATTTTACGATGGTGATGATCAATTTTGGACAGCTCCTGATATACATTATGATGCTACTAAGGATTTAGAATGGTACTCACCAGACGCAGTAACAACAGCACAGGGTACATTGAAATTAAGAATGGATGCGTTCAAGAACCATGATCTATACTATAGATCTGGTATGATACAGAGTTGGAATAAATTATGCTTTACTCAAGGTGCTCTAGAGGTATCGGCAAATTTGCCAAATTATGGTAAAATCTCAGGTCTATGGCCAGGTATTTGGACAATGGGTAATCTTGCAAGACCAGGCTACTTGGCATCAACGGAAGGTGTATGGCCATATGGTTATGAATCCTGTGATGCCGGTATTACTCCTAATCAAAGTTCATATGATGGGATTTCATATTTGCCTGGGCAAAAGCTTAACATCTGTACCTGTGATGATGAAGATCATCCAAATCAGGGTACAGGTAGAGGTGCTCCAGAACTTGATATTTTAGAAGCTGAAGCTGATACAACAATTGGAGTGGGTGTTGCATCTCAATCCATGCAAATTGCGCCATTTGATATATGGTATATTCCTGACTACCAATTCGTTGAAATATATAATTTTACCACCACAACGATGAATAGTTATTGTGGTGGTCCCTTCCAACAGGCAATTTCAGCTGTGACAACACTGAATACAACATGGTATGAATTTGGGCCAGATGCTGGATATTACCAAACGTTTTCCATTGAATATTTAAATGACGATGAATCTGGTTATGTCCGTTGGTTTGTTGGAGACGATCCAACATTTACAATTTATGCTCAAGCATTGCATGAGAATGGTAATATTGGATCAAGAACTGTTTCTAAAGAACCAATGTCAATCATTATGAATCTTGGTATTTCTAATAATTGGGCATATATTGATTGGCAATCGATTTATTTCCCAGTCACGATGTCAATTGATTATGTTCGATTATATCAACCAAAAAATCAAGTTAACGTTAATTGTGATCCCACTGATTATCCGACATATGACTATATTCAAAACCATCTAAATGCCTACCAGAATCCTAATTTAACATCATGGGAAGGAGCTGGTTACTCGTTTCCAAAAAATATATTAACTGGTAATTGTAAAAGTTCAAAATTTAAATTTTAAAAATAGAAACAAAAATGAAAACGAAAATGAAAGGTAAAAAGGAAACCAATAATTAAAAATAACGATTTTTGTTAATTGATCTCCATCCCATCCCATCCCATTCAATTCAATTCAGTTGCACTATATTCAAATTCAATTCTTTATCATTAGGACTTTTCTTTGTTATGACCCAAAAACACACAGAAACACACAGAAGTTTAATTTTATGTATGTATTTTTTATTTAATTTATCTATCTCTCCTCCAAATCTCCAGCATTTTTCCAAAACGACGATTTTAAGAATCATGTAATTTAATTTAATTTAATCATATTATAATTTAACAATTATGACGTTTTTTTTCTATCTGTAGTTGTATATGTAAGTAATACTACATGTGTGTCGTCGGAACATTTCTTTTTGCATCTGCATCAAAGTGAATTAGATATAGTCCGAGAAATTGGATACTGATGCATTTAGTTATAGTTAGATGTTAGATGTAACAAGTTAGACGATGGACAAGTAGGAAGAGTAAGGGAGGTTATACTGGGCAACATGGGAGAAAATTGCCAAGTAAAAAATATTGATTTGTGGAATGAAATGGAATGGAATGCAATACATCCAAAAACAGAAGACGTCATTTAGTATAATATGCGGTGAGGGGGCGGGGGAAGGGAAAGGAAAGACCAGGAGTGAAGGGTTCATGGTTTCAAATAACGTAATTATGTATTATCCAATAGATATACTATTAGAGGAAGAAGGGGGAGGGGTTCCTTCTTCATATTGCGATGGGATTCCTAATTCACCAAACAAAGGATAGTGTCATCTTATTAGCTTAAATAAAAAAAAAAGCAATTGATGTGGATGGAGGGAGGGAAGTATTCAGATGTTTTCTTTTCAATTTCCGGTTCATTGTTCAGTTGTTCCTTTTTAAGATATGTAAAGACGTAATATTGTGAATTTTGTTTTTACGTATGATTGCGACAAGAGGTTTTAGCACATGACACACGGATGCATATGTATGAATATATATATAACTTTTCTTTCTTTTATATGCAACAGGAAAACCTTTGCATTGCGGTTGTCTGACTGCCATGAGAAGAGCGGGTGTCTAGGTAATTTACATAATTTTATGACTTGGTTTTTATATTTCTGAGATTGCTTTTTCTAGTTGTACTCTGGTTAATTTTTCAATTTCAATTTCATTTTCACTTTCATTTTACTTTATGACGACACAGTTGTGAATGAGATGAGGTTTGTTGTAGATTGTGTGGTAGAGGCAGTAAATAGGAATGGGTATGGGTCTGGGTTTGTGATCAATTTTAATAATTGTATTTTCCAGCTTTTAATGGCAGCGTTCCCCAATTGGGATAAAGGATGGGAGAACAGACTACAAAAATTGCTGCTAAATTTGGTACCATCAAAGGTAGTCAGTAGTAATAGTAAAAAATTCAACAATTTATCAATTTGTGACATAGCTATGATTAAATAAAGAAAAGTATTTGATAGGGTTACGATGATGTAAATTTATTTTTTATTTATTATTTTTCATTTTTCAAATTTCTATTTTCTATTTTCCTAATTCTTCCGGGAGAGCAGCTGAGAGAGGGCGACGAAAGCGGGAATGGAAACCGACATACAAACGTTTGCATCATTTCATCACATATAGCAGAAAGGGTGGGAAATCTATGAATTACCTATTTTAGTTATGTCACTGATTGGGATTGGAGTTTGTCCTTAGATTATACTTTCCAGTTTCCAGTTTCCAGTTTCGCAATTCGAGGCAGCTAGCGAGCTTCCTTCGCTGCCCCTTGTCCTGACGTCAGACTGAGAGATCGGGCAAGGTGCATCCGGAGTATCTGCTGGGTATATACAGACTTGGACACATGTATGGTGGCTGCATGTGGTTAAAATTACGCAGGAAAAGCAAATAAAAAACACAATTTATTTTTTGCTTTGCATGTTTTAAAATGCATCAATAATTTCTTGTTTTAGCATCAGCAGACCCACCCATCTCATGTGTCGGAGAAACTTTGCGGTGTGGAGAGACAGCCGCACCGCCTGGAAAAGAAAGACATCCCGGCGACGGCGATATTATTTCTTGGTTTTAAACTTTTTAATCGCACAACTCTGGCTGATGGTTGTTATAAGTTGTCAGTGTAATGGACGGAGACGCAGACGTAGACGTATTCTTGGTTGTTTGTTTGTTTGTTTGGTTGAATGTTGAGTTGACTCTTCGGAAAAACTTTCTTGCTTAAAAATAAAATATCGGAATTATAGATAATCAATACACGTAGGTACGTATGGTACCTACGTTTGTGTGCGTTCAAGTGCGTGTTCACACCGGTGTAATATTGGATTGGATTATCTGTTGTATGTATTGTGTTACAACATCACATCATATCATATCATATCATATCATATCATATCTTGTACTACATACAAAAAAGGTAAATACGATTTATCAGTATAGTAGCGGTTCCCTGTCGTCCCTTTCTTGTCACTGGCAGATCGCCGTACAACGCAAGGCTCGGCGGTACACCAGTCGACCAAAGCAGGCGCCCCTCCACACTACAGCACAGCACAGCTGGCTATCATCTATGGTTTCTGTTAGGAGGACGGCAAGAACAAAAGAAAGTGGGGAACAATGCCTTGAAGAGAGAGATGGACCCAACAAAAAAAGCACAGACACACACACGCACACATAACTGAAATGCCGGTAATGATTTTGATTTGCTGGGTGGATGTGTAGTTTTTGAAATTAAATTGATTCTTTACATTGCCCTGTTTCTTTTCTTGGTCTGGCACGCCGTAGTGGAGTTTACCGGACATCAGCTGAGGTGGGAAGGCAAGGGAGAGGGAGAGAGGGCAGAGAGGAGGATCATTGTATTGTATTGTATTGTATTGTTTCTTCTCCAACCTGGACACTCTAACCAAGTTTTAAAACAACCCAAAGAGGGGAGAAGGAGGGAGGGGTGTGATCAAAGAGAGAAACACAATGTTATTTACCCTCATAAATTTTAAATTTTAAAATTACAGTTAGAATTACACTGATAGAACCCTTTCTTTTTGGGGTCCTCCCACACACTTGTGTGTAGTCGTTTTCTTTTCTTTTTGTTTTTAAAAAAACTAAAAGTCGACTCCTTTGTGTTTGTCTCTGCGCCACTTACTCTCCCCATCAATCCAAAAGATGGTATCCAAGACCAGCACTGGGAGCAGCATGAGACAGATGTTCCGGTGCAACGCTGCAAGAAATACCTGCCATCGTCATCATCTATTGATCTATTGTGCGTCTCCCCTGGCCTTGCTCAGCGACTTGTCAAGTTACTTCTTTCTTATTCCAACAGCGACAGCGGAATTTTGAGGTTCTGCACAAACAAGAAACATAAAACATTGCGCTTCTGCCTACACTTCTCCCTCCACTTCTCCTTCTTCGTCGCAAAACATAATAAAACCTAATTATTTCCCAATTTATGAAATCGAGCCATAATTTCTTTCTGCTATATCCAGAAATGTTAGTGTTAATCAACACCCATGTCCTAAACAGGAAACAGCTCCCAACAAAATGAAATGAAAGATATCAATATAACAAACTATATTGAAAAATAAAAAAAAAACACAAACCAAAATCACAGAAGAAGACAACAGCACAACCTGATATGATATGATATGATATGATATGATATAATATAATAATTATACTTTAATCTACTAGATTCACTGGTAGCTAGAAGGCAAAAAAAACAACCAAAGAACAATTAAAGTTTGATAACAAATTTCGAAATTCTAGTGGTTGCTCTCCCACTTACCGGCGTGTACCCTTCCCAATTGTCAGTTAACGTAATCAGCTCCAACCTTGCTCTTGCCTAGCTCTTGTCATTGTTTTAAACAATTCCTATAAAAAAGAATATGTATCGCTACAGATGCCTCTCCCAGCCACCCGCCGTGCAACCACTCTTGAAATACCCTCGACAAGCATTTGGGACTGCGAACAAATTCTGATTCTGATTCTGATTCTGATCATCCAATCCATCGAAAGACATTTGCTGCTCCCCCCAAAGACCCAAGACCAAGAAACAAATCCTTATCAATTTAGATCAACCAAACGCTGACCCACACCCACCTCTTTCTTCTTGGCGGTCTTCGAAATTCCTTTTCCGGTTCTTTTTTCTCCCTTTTCCCCCCCCAAAAAACCCAAAACTGGAAAACTCCAATGTGCCAAACTTAAATGGGAACAATT